GATGAAAAATGAGGCTGAGTACACTGATAAGAATATCCATAAAGTTGCATGTGTTTTAAAGGAATTTGCTAAACAGGACAACCAGAGTCGGGTTTGTACACAGCGATGTCCAGTGATTGCCAGATTTCTATTTCCAGCCTCTAGCACTGATTATACACTTCTGTTATTCTTGTTAAATATCATACTTGAGTGGCCCCAGGGAAATCCATAATCTGAAACTTTAGGAGAGCTGAACACAGAAGCATGAATATGGACATGAAGGCAGACACTCGGAGGAGAAAAGTGCTTACCTTTACATGGCCGCCTTGGACTTACTGCTAGGTTTATCTCATTCTCACAAAATCTGTTTGCCCATTTGGCGTAGGTAGTTGCATGGAAAATGTGGCAAGAATATTCTATAAAGATGTCATTCTTTCAGTAAAACAGAGCTTTGGGAAACCTGGTGATTGATGATTAATACAGCTCATTAAATAAAAACTCCAGCTGAGCTGGCTTATTGGTGAAAAATGTTTAATAGCAAGCTAATGATCCAAAAATATTGTTTTCTAAGAAGCTGGGAGCCCAAAGGAGTAAAAGGTCCAAAAAAAAAAATAAAAATTGTTGTCCTTAAGGTTATGTATGTTTGGCTGTGAAACCTTGAAGACTTGGACTATTGAGAAGGTACAGTTGTCACCTTGTACATTGTCATTTGGTATTTTTTGAACCACTGGATTTTTAGAAATAAAAACGAGGCTTGGGGTGGTGGTGGGAATCCCTAATTAATCAGAAAGCCTCGCTTTGCAGGTTAACTGCTGTGAGGACATTTTCTGTGTCTAGGTAATGTCAGAGTAAAATTTAAGGTGAAATTTCCCTTAAGACTCTTTCTCTGCTGGTAGCCTCCTTTTTTCTGGTCCTTTCTCTGGCAGCCTGCTGCCTTTTCCTCAGTATTTCCCTTCTCTCTTTAATCCCTTTCTACCTCTGATTTTGTGTGAGCTATCTGAAAGTGCATGGTACCTGAAGGCTTATGTTCAAATATCCCTTTAAACAAATATTGCTGAGTTCTGAGTTAGACTTGAAAATACAGGAGTTGAAACGGCCAAATAGTTCTGTGTTTTGGAATGAAAAAAAAATATTCTCACAGCTAGTGATACTGTGTGAAAACCAGTCTTTTATTTTTTCCCCAATAGCTCAGCTACTTAGGGATTTACTTAAGGTTCTGTTTTTTATTGTGTGGAGGTAAAGCACAGTTTAAGGGGGATCAGATGCACACAAGAGGAAATGTGAAGATAGAAAAAGAATACTATGAAATGCATGAAGAAAATACTGAAAAAAAAAATAGGAAGAGCTTTCTACAAGACTTCTAAAAGGTCTAAGCAAATATGCACAGCTGTTAAAAATGAACTTTCAAATATAGAACTGTAATGGGGACCAGGGCTGAAGGATATAAGAGCAGAAATAATTTGAAAGGGAAAACTATTTCCCTTTAAAATAAAAGGGAGAATATATTTCCCTAAAAATAAAAGGGAAAAACAACAACAACATAAAACACACTTTAAAAATGGCACCGAATAGATAAATGAATTATCCTGGGACAATTTCAAGAAGTCCAGGTTGTTTACTGAGTCTCAGTGACTAGAATGTATTTTCACTTGCTGGAATTTCTACGATGAAAGTACATGACAATAATGTTTTGTTTTTACCTTCCTACATTAAGAATTTATTGAATGGATTCAGCATTTGCTAAGTACCCATTGGTAATCCTGTTCAAGCAGTATTAATTTTTGCTAGAGATCTGAATTCTTTAGCTGGTGAGTTCTTGCTTTGGGCTTGTTCTCCAGGCACTGACTTTATGCAGAGGGACCTCTGCATGCCAGGTGACCATGGCAGGGCTGAGAAGAGTGCACGGTCTGTATGCTTGTTTGGTAGGCAAAACCAGTTAAGCTTGGGTGTCTAATATGCATGGTGACACTTTGCTCAGAAATCTGAACATTGTATGTAGGTGTCCAGCTAGGATGCTAGATAGAAAAGGGTTTTGTTCACAAATGAAGACAGAATAAAATTAGGAGGAGATCAGCTTTTATACCACAATGCTGCTCATCTCTGCAGCAATTACAGTGTGATGGACTGTAGGGCAGCAGCGAATGCACCCTTTGGAAATCAGTGTTGATTTCCTTAATACATGCTTGTGTGCAGCATAATGTCCTGGTCTGTCTCTGAGGCAGGGGTGAGACCTGTGAGATGGGGAGCAGCAAACAGGCCGGAGATGGGAGTCACTGGAGGAATCCCAGCGGAGGCTGCCCTGCTCGTGAGTCAGAGGTCTGCACTTCACCTACACCTACACTATTTAGAAGAAATTCTGTCCCTGCCTGCCTTATCTCCTGCACTTATCTTGGTGCATTTACCAATGAAAACAAAGAATAATAATCTCTGTAATGTGTGAAGTGCTTTGAAGTCTTTTCTGACCTAGAGGATCAGAGTGTTTAGTGCCTATTCCTGTGATGGGCCTCTGGTACTTAAACATGCAGCAGTGAGTCAGAAGAATCAATTTGGTGCTTCTGTGAGGGCCGTAATTCATCCTCCCTGATTGAAATAATCAAGGATGCAGAGGCGGCTCTCTGCTTCTGAGTAAACACTCCTTTTATGTTGCTTTAACACAAATACCTGACACTAAGTGGGGATACACAAAAGGAAGTCAGGCTGCAGGCTTTTTCCTGAAGTAGGTGTTTTGTGATGGATTAATGGCGAATCACGATACATTATTTATCAGATAATAAGTGTGATAATTGTTCTTATTTATCATGAGTCTCGCTCAGCTCATTCTCCTGTCATTCCTTCAGTCAAGCTGTCCCTGGGGATTCACCAGATGAAAACCGGCCCAAAGGTCATGCCAACAATTTTTAGTCATAATGGCACGCTGATTACCTCCTAATTGAAAAGTGTAAACTACAGGCACTGTAAGTAATGCAAGTGACCCCTGTCTTTACAGCGCAATGTGGAGGGCCCCTGCTTGTCTCAGCCAGCCACAGAGAACAGGGGAAGAAGCAAACCTTTTCCTCATCACGGGAACATGACATTGATGTATAGATAAAACATTATGGAAGTAATACAGATATGTTTGGGACTCAATTCTGAGGTGCACGTTAGCACAGCCTTTTGAACATCAGTCAAAAACCCAACTCTTTTTGTTGGCAAGGTGTGAGGATAATTATTGCAGTTTTGCTGCCTCTGTATTTATGCTTCTTGTCACAAGGAAGTGCAAAAAGAGCCACATGCCAGGCAAGCTCATAACTCTAAGAGTGGAAGAAAAAAGCAGAATCCATGTAAAATATTTTCAAAAATTATTTTGTCAAAAAGCACAAATTACAATGCAGGGAACTCACTGATTTTATTCTTTTATATCTCTAAGGTATTCTGGCAGCGTGATGTTAATACAAAACTCTAACATGCTGCCTATGAATGAATGCAGCATTGCCATTACTTGGTTCTACAGTTTCTCCTCAAAGCCCGTGCTAACTGTGCAGCGTCTTTTTCTCCTAAATGATGTTTTCCCCCAGATTCTTATCACGTATTCTTCTTATACCTCTCTTGTTGTCAGCCCCACAGTTCTTTATTTGGGATTGGTCTGACTAGAGTCTGCAAACAGCAAGTTTTTATGTTGCAGCTCTATAATCTTTGGCACATACCTTACATTATTTTGTCTCCCAACCTTCCAAATAAAATTAATACGTAAAGGAGTATAAAATACATGTCTCTATATAGGTACAAAAGGAGTGTCAAACTGAAGAAAGCATTTCTGAGCAACAGATAGAGCAGCCCACCTGTGATTCCTAATCTGTGGTGTTCCCTTTGAAAATACCGTGTAACTGCTGGCCAGTGTTAACCTCACTGAACTGATAAATTCACATCCTCACACCAAAATGATTTCCTCTGGATTTACTCTTGGAAGCCTGAGAAATACTCTGAGCATACCAAGACTCAGAAGTAAGTCACCCTAATGCCAGAATAACTATAAGGCAGCACGTTGACTACACAGTTTTTATTAAGCAAAGTTCCCGAGATCAGCTATTAGGACACAGTAGGCCTGTTTTCTTCTGCCTGCGTTATTCATCAAGGTATCTCCCCTCTTTTAAAATATTAGAAGAGCTTCAAGTTACTCAGACTAGGGAGAGCAGATGATTTAATGCATACAGCGGTGACTCCTGTTTCTATTTAGAATAGGCCTGAATAAATATTATGGCTAAGCAGCATAAAACAGCTGTTCCACACTGTGGGTTTTTTATTACACTTCATGAGCAATGCTTTGTACACCACAGATCTTATCTGAGTGGAATTTAATTTTATTGGCTTTATACATTCACGAGGCAGTTGTCTACATTTGTGTTAGTTTGCTTTTCCAAGGAAAATAGGTGCTCTTTACTTAACTTTCTTTAGATGCCTGCTTTAGTATGAATTTAATTGTGCCATAGAGACGTGCCTGCTTAATTGTCATTGATTTTGAAAGGAGCCTGGACAACCAGGTCACATACTGATGTTGAAATCTGATCAGATGAATCCCAATCTTTTAGTCCAAAGTAAGTGCATCTTGTGAAGAAATGAGAATGACATTTAGATGGCTATAAGATTCATACTTTCCTATTTTTCCAGGAAAAAAAAAAAAGAAAAAAGAATTCTTTGAATAATGGAACTATGTCTGAGTTTCAGATGTAGAAGTTGTTCAAGGTCAGTTACACTTCTTCATTGGCAAGGCAGTTTGGTCCTTTTTAACCACCAGTTTTAATATTTTGCAAAGCTTTATACACTACAAGTTTTTTTTTTTTTTTTTTTTTTTTTTTTTTTTAAACACACGTTCTGCAAGGAAAATCAAATGGTTGAACAGAGCCCACTCTATGTAATGGCTTCCAGGTGTGGTCACAACCACAAATGATCTGGTCAAGAGTAGCAGCCATTTACTCCTGAGAAGCAGTGCCTGGCCTTGTGTACTCCTAGTTCATTGCAGAGAGGAAATATAACAGGTAATTCTAAACCACAGTAGAGATTACCAGCAGGATATAAAATAAAATCATGAGATTTCTCTCAACATGATTCCTAGTATTTAATCATGTTGGGAACATGCCTGTTACCCATTGCCACCTCTTAGCTGAGACTGGTAGCGTTCCAGGGGAAGGTCAGCGGTTTTCTTGAGGTACGTTAATTTTATTCCCTGTAGCAGGGTGCTTTGTCCTCAGATTGCTGGGAGCCTAAGGGGATGTATTTTGATAGCAGAGTGCAAACTTGTACCGCTTTGAATTCACATTTCAGAAAAAAGATGAGTGGCATAAACTGAGTCTGTTCTAAGATTTTTTATTTATTTTTTTTTTATGTATGAACAAGTTAGAGGATTTTATCAGTAGCCCATGAAACAGAAAATAGGATTTTTGACAAAGTGACTACAAATTTATATCTCTTCTGAATTCTTTTTGTAGACTGACTAGTAAAGAAAATAGATCCTGCAGGTATTTGAGCTGACATCTAATTTGTTTTAGCAATAATGTTCATATTTACAACTAAATCCTTCTGAGAATAAGTGGATCTGTCCTGTTGAGTCTTGGTTTAGATTAGGATTAGCGAACACAACACTTGTTAACCTTAATGTGTTTATTTCTGATCAATGAAATTACTGAAGAATCTTGTAGGCCAACTCTAGTACAAATCAAGCTGCAAACTCAATCTCTTTTACTTCAGAAAACACAGAATATCTATTTACCTTCTTTTTCTTAAAATACAGTTGAAGCAGATATCTGGAAATTTCATAACTGAGAAAGCTCTGAGGGGCTGCAGCTGCTAAAGTGGCTTTATAACTTTATTTCACATTTCAGTATTTCTTGAGCATGCTGATTAAAATACACAAAATTCATCTGCTATACATGCTACTATGTAGCTCAAATCAGCACTTTTCCATGTGTTATCGCTTTAGTGCGGTTATGTTGATACAATTCATTTGTTCCTGTTCTTCATTACTATGCAGTAAAGGACTTATAAATAAATAAATAAATAAATAAAGCCTGGGACATAACCCTGCCAGAGCCCCCGGGCCTGTGGGCAGAGCTCTGTAAATTGTCACAGCTCCATTGCCTTCAAATGGCTAAATGTTAATGCCTCCCACAGCTGAAGGCTATCTGCCTGCTGTGAGATACACCAAGAGCTTTTTATTTATTTATTTATTTTCCAGTGGCTTATTCTCTGCAGTGAATGTAATAGCAGCCTTAAGGACCGCATCCAGCTGACCTAAATTTGGTAGGGCCTCTTTGGTCATTGCCTCCCTGTGCTTGGGTGATGCATCCAGCTCTCAGGGTGAAAGCATGTTAGTGGTTCCTATCTGAAAGCAGGGACTTACAGCCACTTGTTGCTGGCTTCACCAGCAGCAGCCAGTAGCCCAAATTCAGGGTGTGACTTGGAATTGTGCTGTGGGAGCTCTTAGAACAGCAAAGGTACCTTACATCTGTGCTTTCCTTAGTATGTAGTATACCTTAGTGATATCAGCTGGTGTAAACAAAAATTGTAAGTAAAAGCTATGTTTTATTTATTTATTTTTTAGTAGATTGTGTGACTCAGTGGAGTCATGCAGAATAAGGAAAATGGATGTAATGCTTTGTTAAGGTGTAAGTGTTGCCTGGTATTCTCTGCTAAGCAGCTGCATTGTAACAGCAGTTGTTGGATCCCTTGAGTTTCAGAAAAACCTGGATTATTACCAGATAATGCCTTATCTCTGAACTGATCCAAGTTCAAAGGCATGCCCTTCTATTTTGTGTCTCTTGAAAAGTTAATGATATCTCTCTGTGAAAGAGCTACGTGAACTGAGCAAGAGAGATGTATTAATGTAAGCTGGAAATGTAAGGAACAATGCCTTCTTGAAGGTAAATGTGTTACTAATGCATTTGTTCTCCTGCTTCACTTACCTCCAGTAGCTCATCTCTAGTCTCAGAGAGAGCACAAACATTACACGTTACAGACCACGGACGGTTGTAGGCACTCAGCACCTCTGAAACCTTTCCCTTTTTATCTTGCAAACATTAAAGGTAATATAAAGGTGACCTTCAAACTTGGATTTAAGTCTGAAGTAATTTCAAAGCTATTTGGTTTTAAAACCAGCTCTCAGACTGATTTGCCCTTTCTGTTGTTTGTTAATGTCTCTGGGGGACTGGGGATGGGGTGGAAGGACTGTGTGGCCAGGCAGAAAAGCCTCCACATCATGTGTCCTGTGAAGAGGTTTGGCTTCTGCTCCATGTGCATGGTCTGAGAGAAGAAGCAGGAATGAACTGAAAAAAGGACTTGAAACTAGAGTTGATGTGGATCTGAGCACAGCTGCAGGGAGTGTAAAGGCTTGCACATTAATGCTGAGAATCAACTACTGTGCTTGGACCTGTGTTTGCACAGGACAAATTTTCTCCAGTCCTGCTTAAGGGGCAACCTCAAATCCCAGTGACTTGGGTTTTGTGTGCATTTTCAGAAACATACTGTCAGGACAAATTGATTATATTTACAATAGACAGTTCAAACTCGAGGAGCGTAAATGCATGATGTGAATGCAATTTACTGTGTTGTTTAGCTTGATAGACCTGTGACTTTTAGAAAACCCAGGGACCGGTGAGCGTCAAACAGATCAGTTGGCATTGTGAGCTCATGTTTTGGATGGCTGAGAGATTTTTGAGGATCAGGAGGAATTTCTAAGCAAAGTTTGGTTTTGATCACATTCTGTTCTGGGTTTTCAGTGTCCTTTTAAGCTGTTCTTTCTCTTATCTCCAAACCCTGCTTTGAGTCCTCAGAGTCCCCAACCAAAGGGCAGTTGGCATTTTAAGCCAGTCTGTTTCATCCCAATGCTAATCAGCCCTGCCTCCTCCAGGTGAATTAGGTAGAAACAAGTCTTTGTGAAAAACGTGGGTTGTTTTGATAACTAAGGCTTGTGAACAAAAATGGGGTGCTCTGAATCTAGCAGACCCAGGATTACGCTTATGGTTGGCACTGCCTCTAAGGTGGTATTGCATCACATTTGACACTGTTGTAGGTGTATCAGACAAGCTGTGAAGAAGAGGAAGTTTCTCATATTTTTAATAGTGCAGTAAGTCAGAGGAAAACGTAAATTCCTCATATTTAATGAGAAATCTGGCAGTGAGTGAGAACCTTCTGAGATTTCCTCTTGTGCTGTACAGTCTGCTGGTAAGTTGGGGCCATAGTTGTTAGACATAGGCTGATGGAGACGCCGATAGCAAACAACAGGGGAAGGTGTGCTGATTTGTCACTAGAGAGATAACTCCAAATAAATAGAAGCTGAACCAAACTCCTTATCAGCACTTTCCTTCCAGTCTTGGTGAGAAAGGGCTTTTCTTTTTAAGCATAACATCATGCGCATACAGACCAAATAATGAGAAGACAAGCAGTCCTTGGTTGTATGTGGGAAAAACTATCTCAAGCTGAGTTGCATGCAGGTGGATTTGCACTTTCTACTCTATCGATAAACACAACCCATTTAAACCTCACCAGGATTTAGCTTTTACTACTCTATATTGCTGCAGCTATCCTCATGGAAACTGCTTCTGCCTGCTTTGTCATAAGGATCAATCTCTGTGCTTATGTTTTTGTTGGAGTGGTCATGTTTGGCTGAAGGACTACTGATGTCTCAGTGGGATCTGCAGAGGTCTGTGCCCATCTCTCCCTGTCTGTAGAAACAGGCTTCCATGCTTATTATGGAAGGAAACGATTGCAGCCTATATTCCTTTGCAGTATGCTTAGGCTGAAGTTAATCTTTGCTCTTTGCAAATCTAATGAGGGGTTTGGTGGAATAGGCAGGACGGGAACTTAACTGATTCCCTCTATAAATGAGCTTAGTAACAACCAGGAGTGCTGCACATGGATCAAATTGCCTTCAAGTGTCAGGCAGCTTTAAGCTTTGATAGTGGGGTAAAGCTTTTCTGGAAGCTACATTGTTTGATTGGAGATGCTTGCTTGCTGTTCTCGAGGAGGTATGTGTGAGGGGGAAAGAGCCTCAAAATTGCTGAACGCCAGTGTTAGAGGTTAATGTATCTTTCTGCACAAACCTGTGATAATTACTGGTGAAAAGGGAAGATGACCACGGCAAAGAATTGTACCTGCCTCTCATGAGCAACATGTTTGATCTGTAGTGAGAAGATATAAGAAACTAAGTTTTGTGCTTCTGCATGAAAAGTGCACCAAAAAGACAAAAGCTGAAGTTTGGGGGGAACATGTAATTTAAATAACCAAATTCAGACATCTGTCTTCCAGTATTGAGGCTCTGTTATTGCTTTCATACCTGGTGGTGCATGCCTCTTTGCTTTCCTGTACTTAGGAACTACTTTAAAAATTTGTTTTTGAAACTGTAATTGCTTGTGTTAGAGGAAACTTTTTATTAATCTTTTCCTGAGTTACCAAAATGGACTAGCTTACCAAAGATAGCACTGAGGGCTTGCATTTCCATAGTGTCCTCTCTTCCAAAGGATGCAGGTCACTGATGGGTTATAGCCGTCCCATGGCTGTAATGGGAAGCCATGACACGTAGCAGCCAGCCAGCTATACTCACTGGCAGGTGTTTATAGCTATAACTCACTTTTCTATCCTCTGATTCAGAACAGAAAGGTTCCTATCATGCGTGTGGCAGGACAAAGTCTGGAAATAAAAAAAAAAAACAAACAACAAAACTCTACTGAAAGTATGGAAGGAGTATATAGGTAGGTAGCATGCAATTACTTAGCTGGCATTGAGTTGAGTGCTGCCCCTGTAAGAGCCAACATTTCACTGATGTATAGGCTTTTTAGCTATGCATGGTTTTGGACGCGTCCCTCAAATAATCTAAGTCTATTTTGTGCTGTGGTCTTTCTCCCCAGCCTCTCATACGTAAGCTGCCTTTGGCTTTGGCACTAACAGCAGCATAAGTTAATCAAATTCCACGCAATTTCACCCTTTTGTGTGATGTTTCGCTTGAGAGCAGGCTTTGGGGTATGAGAGATTCATACAGCATGTGCACAATTTCAGGGAGAGAAGGGGGAAAATCAGGACAGACTGATAAGTGACCCAGCTAACCTCCCTCCCAGTATACAACCCCTGCTTTTTTCTTCAATACACTCTCTTTCAAAGCAATCTCAGTCTTTCATCAGAGCTTTCCAGTGCACTCCCAATGGGTTTACATAAATC